CCCCTAGTTCCAATCTTTAATGACTATCACTTGCAAAGAGCATAACTATTGCTGCCACTGGTTCTGTAAAGGCATCAGAAGTAGGAACCAAAGAACCTTTAATGCACAATGAGCTGGGGGAACAGGCAGCTGACAGCAGGAAGAGCAGCAGGGTACACACAGCTCCCAAAGAGCTCCTAAAAACATTGTCTTTTGTATATCATATGCCTGGGCAACCACAGATCCAACATACATTTAATTTGTCCAATCAGCATTTGACATATATTTGACTGATCTAATCAGCATTAACTGCTTTCTGGAAGCATGCATTCCCTACCAGGTCCTTTGTGCAGCAGGCTGCAATACTGCTTTACTTGTTTGAAACCGTTTTGCAGCTACCCAGGCTAACTGTTGAGCTCATCTTCACTGAGGCCTGTTGTTGCCCACAATGCCATGGTCACAGATGACCATTAAGGTGACCTTCCCAAATTCTGGAGTGCTGGATTTTGAGTGCTCTTACTTTTGGTTGTATGTAAATTAAATGTGTAATCATGTGCTCAGTGTGCCAGGATTCCCTGCTATGCACTGCACAAATAAAGGGAAAATTCAGGCTTTTGCTCCTCGAGTTTGAAACCATAGCCATAGTAGCTTTATATCAACATTCCAGTTTTACAGTTATCACCTAAGCTAACAATGCAAGGGGATTAAGAACAACTGAGTCACTTCTAACACAGTCAGTTCTTAACAGTAAAAATGATTTGATGTAGAAAATGAACATTCTCTAATTGGCACTAAATAGAAGTTTCTTCAATTGCAATTAAAATAAAATGGGCACAAGTTGTGCTGGATCTGAGCCCAATGAATCCCTGCATGGAATACCTTGTTCCATTAGTTGACAGTCTTCATTAAATAAGCAAAGAAATAAGAAAAACACTTAAAAACTAGTGACATGACATAAACTGGCAGCCACTGGTGATAGCACCTGTTTAATTACAGACAAGGAGCATGTTGAGTGGTGGGGAAGGAGGCAGAGACAATGTTGCCATAGTTTTTTCTCCTACACAATGTCCAGCAGTGATAGAGGTGTTGACTTCCCCCACACTGGGGAGCTGTGACAAACAAATGACAACCACATCCTTCCCACAACTGAAAATGTTGAGCATAGTGGCAGAATATGCTGAAGGTCCCTGCACCCAGGGTGGCTCAAAAGAAGCAATTTCATGTAGTGCTGGACAAGCTGGAGACTGGCTAATATCATCCAGGTTGGAGGGCCTTAGGCCACCAATTGTGCCCCAAGGCCTCTTCAGAGCTCAAACTGCTTCAGGCTGAACCACAGCTTCTGGGTCCTGCGGCAGGATTTTTATCATAGCCTGTTATAAAGAAAAAGGGAAAGTCTGCACTGTAGTCTTAGCTTGCTATGGCAGACAGACCCTCCAACCTGGATGAATGTTTGAAGCACCTATGCCATAGTCCTCAGTGGCTGCTTTAAAGCACATATTTCACCTTTTGCATCTAAGTGGCACTGACAGAGCTGCTTAAGTACAAGTGTTTGTTCTTACATATATTATATGTTCTGTTTCCCTCAGTGACATAAAACCATGGCCTGGGTGTGCAAATGCCCAAGGAAAAACATGAAGGATAGGGAGGAAGAGGCCCTTCCCCTTCCATCCTAATTCCCTACTGGTGAAAGCACCTGCCCCTTCACCCAGAGTTTTGCTCTAGCCACAAGACCATGAGCTAAGCATTGCCCACAGCATCCTCCAGCCCTCCTCTGGGAGAACAAGAGGGCCCTGGGTTCTGGCTGATGCCTCCAGTGGCTTTGCCATACCTTGCATTTAATATCACTAAGTCAACATGGATGAATCACACAAGGAAATTCCTTCTACCTCACTAGGCAGAAGAAAACCATTTTGAGATAGACATACCTTCTCAATGTTTTCACTAGAACCAAGAGGTATTGCCAAATCCAAAACTTCAGTGACCAGTTGTCAGTCCCCACTCCCACTCCCAAACTACACAAGATTGCCTCCTCAAATGACAAGACTGTTTTAGATAGACACTTTGCAGGACAAGGCAATCTTCGGATTTCTGAACTCCCCTTGTCCACCCTGTGTATGGTCATCTGACAGTAGCTGCTACTAAGTCCTTAAAGTGATGTGATTTGGGTCCTGCTGCCCATACTGTGTTTTAATGGCTGTAACAATCTGCAGGAATTGCAGTGGGGATGGTTTGGAGGGTGACACCAGGAAGCTTCCAGGAAGCTCCATGTGTTTTGGGAATTGTACAACCCCTCTGAGCACACAATGCACTGCACAGCTGCAAGCAGCACCACTGAAGACAGTATACTTCAAGATCCAAGTTGCTACAGCCCAAATAGACTTTTATTTGCTTATTTTATCTATTTATTATTGCACAGAGCTCTGTGAATGAAACAGACTGACACTGCAGAGCTGTCTCCTTCTTCCTGGTCTAACCACTCCTACCCACCTTATAACTGAAGACAACAGCAAAGAGGGCAATTTGACTTCACTTTCTTGAGAAGCAACAAGAGGCAATGGATACCTTGAAGGAGGGTGTCTGCTCATGAATTCATCCTCATGAAGAACAGTGAGAGATGAGAGCTATTTTACTGTGAAGGAGAAGATTCAAACATGATAAACTATAGCAAGGAGGGAACCTCTCTCTTAAGTACTTTTTTGGTTCAAAATTTACTCAAGCTACCAGAGAGAAAGAACAAAAGGGAAGGATGCATGTACATGTGCGTGAATGTTCTGAAGTTCAAAGGGTTCACAGGGTAAAGCAGCACTGGGATGTGTCTGTGCATAGGAATGCAGTGTACATACGAAAAGAGAAAACTTCAGGGGCAGATGGTCAGGGATATGTGGAGGATAGAAGTGAAAGCAGTTTGATAGATAGATAGATAGATAGATAGATAGATAGATAGATACCTGGGACTTTATATAAACCCAAACTGAGTAGCTACTACGTGCTTGTTTTGTTCTGGTACTTTTTCATCTAGCCCTGAGTGTGGATAGAGAACAAATTAAAGGTGATTCTTCATCTCTGGAAATCATTAGGAATATGGTATCATTTTTACTGGGATTCTTGGTTTAGCATGTTGGACATTTCTATATGTTTTTAAAATTATCCGTCTGTCTGCAAAATGAGACTTTTTATGCACACTGTGCTGCCAGGGGGACCAGGAAATAAAGTCCTCAGTTCTCCTCGTATAGATTGGGTAAGACCTCCTTGCCACCACACACACACACACACACACGCAAAAAAAATCACAGATATTCACTCAACTCAGTGCCCACTTGCCTTGGTGTAATGGGATGCAAGGTACCCACTCCACAATATAAAAGGGAGTTTCTTACCTACTAAACAGATTCTCCCCATGTGAATTTTGT